GAGCAGCCAAATAGCCAGATGCCTAGAGCAGGAGCAATTGGTCTATGAAGAAAGACAAACCATAAAAACCCCATGAAAAATTGTAATAGCTCTTAAAAGTTGTGCCTGGCCCAGACTCTTGCTGAGCTGAGCACATTTACAGTCCACATTATTGTTGCATCTACTGTCCCAGACACAGAAGAATTGAATTTACTGCTTTGGGGAAGCAACAGGGATGGAGAGCTCAGACGCTGAAAATGGCATGTGAGCAGAGGAGTAGGGAGTTTCAAAGTGTGCATTAGGAGCAGAATTTTTCTTTCTCGATATTAGGGTGTGCTTGTGTATGTCAGCTTTTTATGAAGGTGGTCATAAGTCCTGCACACAGGTAAGCATTGCATCAGTACCCCAGGGTGGCCTCTGTTTGTTAATTCATCGGTGAGCATAGCAGGTAACAGGGCTCCTCACTCTCTTCTTTCCCTCTTGAAGTTTCCACTAACACCTTTTCCTGTGGGTGTCTCCCTCTCTCACTGGACTGTGGAATATGTACTCTTGGAGTGAACCAGTGTCAAGGACAACCATCCCTGCTCACCACTTAAGGAGTCCCTGTCTTAGAGATTTCTCCTGGGAGGTGGATTGGGTCTTTCGGGTTTCTGTAACCAATTCACATAAGAAAAATCAATGAGTACCTTTGGAAAGAAAGTAGCCACATCTACACTTGGAGCCCAGAATCCCTTCTGGCAGCCTCTCTTAGCTGTGTTATTGTGTTGAATTGGGTGTTCCACATGACTGAGGGAGAGGAATGCATCTGTCATGGATTCTGCTCAGCCTTTGTGGGGACTGAACCACTGAGCATTTAAAAAAAAGTAGGATACAATCCTTGACACAATTGAAATTTTAGGACTGTGGAAACATAGCAATCAATCAAGAAGTCCCCAAAAAAGCTTTAGTGTCTCAAAGGTAGGATTCTACCCTACCAGCCTCAATCTTTAGCCCACCTTTAACATGTAGAATCTAGAAACTGCTACTGTTTAGAACCAAGCTAAAACTTCTCATTTTACAGAAAAATGTTGGTTTGTCAAGGACAAGAAGACATGTAAGTTGTGGGAGGACACCCAGTGGACTAAATGTCAGTACTTTTGGAGGGTGAAGGGGCATAGAGCCTGCAGACAAACATTGGGACTCAAAAAACCAACAGAAGCAGAAATGCAATTCTGAGCAGAGAAGTTGAGTGCTGATGCTTAATTTTGTGCATGTGTAAATCTTTTCCTGAACCAGTGATTTCCAGAAGGATGGAAAGAGGCTTTGAGTGCAACCATCTGAGTGCAGAATTGTGTTGTGTCATGGGGTTGATGAGTAGAGAACACTCCTTGGAATGTAGAGATGGGCACTTGACTGAAGAAGAGCCCTTAGGAAAAACAGAGGACCTCTGTGGAATCTAGCAGATAGAGGCTTTGCTTTTCTTCACAGCTGCCACCATCTGTAAAAAAGGTGCCATAAATGTTTCTGCCAAGAAATAGATGTGCTTAAATAAAAGACTGCCACCTTCCCCTTCTCACTTCTGTAATGGTCTTTCTCATTATGTTTTTTACTCCCCCAATACCAAGTGCATCCCTTTATTTTAATTTTTTCTAGTACAGCAAGCCCTCCCTCTTCATATTTGTCTTTGTTTGGAGTCAGCCCATTATTTTGCCCCTTGTGAAAGGATACCACAAGGCCAAATGTTTTCAGATAACTCCTAGTTTTATTTTCCAGCCAGTAGCACACATTTGTCTCTTGGTCTTGGTCTTGTGACACAGGAATATTCATGACTGTGGGGAAATCCAGGATGTCTTTCATGGACTGGACAGTTCCCAGGTTGTTGGTTACCAGTGCCAGTAAATAGAGCTATTTTGACACATTCTGGCCATGCTTCACTAGTCAACAAGACAGGACACTTTGAGCTGAAGACTCCGGCTCTTTGCCCAGTTCCAAGAGACACACACACACGGTCTACAATAAGAATCCTTTCCCATTTTTATGTAGCAGTACTACAATCTGTTGAGTACATGATACATAGTAAATCACAAGGCATCACAGTGAACAAAAATACAGTCAACCTACATGAAGCATATAACATTTCTTAAAAGGCATATAACAGTTTTTATTTCAATATTAGTATTAACCTAGTTGGAATAACCAGCCTATCCCCAGCTCCTCTTCAAGACATGATAGCTAATTTCTGGTAAATGAGAAGAGAATCAGTAGTTTTTGTTAATTTTCAATTTTCATATCTTTAATCTTAGTATAACTCAGTATAGCAAACATAGATGTACCAGAAAAAGGCTTGCTTTTTTTAGTTACCTTTTACATACTCCTTAGAAATAATTCACAGTCTGCCAGAATCCCTACAACATAGCACTGAAGCTGTTTCCATGCTTTGTTTGTCCAACACAGTTGATTGTGAGCCAGCTCTGCCAGTAAAACCAAAACAGGAAATTGTTCTTACAGTTTCTTCTGACCAATAGTTTATTTCTTCATATATAAATTCTAAAGTTTACCTTTCCTCTTATGTGTAGTGAAGTTTCTTTACTTAGGTATCCTTTGGTACCAACTTAAATGTGGTGAAAAAGAGACTTCCCACTCTTACTTTCTTATCCTCTTCATTATTCTCCAGAGACTCTTGCAAGGATACACCTTCCACTGGAATTTTTTTTTTCTTTTAAAATAAGGTTAATCTAGAGTTAAGGGTATATTTGCATTTTTTTTGTGTTCTATGTTGGTAGCTGGATCCATAAAGCTAGAAAAAGTGTAGGTTGGTAGGATGTTTTATTTGACTTCCAATGACAGCTTGTTTTGGTACAGTGTCCTAAGAGTGTCTATATTGATACTGTCTGGTAGTAATTCTTATCAACCCATTTGCCTTGTTAGGCCCAAAGAGGACTTTAAAAGAGGTATTCCCTGATCAAAGAATGGTTACAAACAAGAGCAGGTACTAAGCAGTTTTTGTCCTTGGGCCCTGCTCACTTCCTTTTAGAGCAGAAAGAAGCTCATCATACCAAGTCAGCTATTTAAATAATAATGTGGATTGTTTTATGACAGGAGAATATTGCTAATGGTCAGTCTTTTAATCTCGTGTCAGATGTTTCTGTCAGGTGTTGCAGCTTTGGCAGTAGTAACAGTGTGCAGCTGATAGGCTTCCTACGCAATGAGTGCATGAAAACGCCAGCATTGAATAACCTGATACTGTGCTAGTCATAGTCCCTGTGAAGATATTTTTGGTCTTTTGGAAGTGCACTGCTTTTCCTCTAAGAAAATACTTGTTTCTGAGAGCCAGACAGGCTCTGGAGCACCTAGAGAACCTCAGTTTGACTGTTCTTTCATTCAGTGACCTAAACAATTGAAATAAGTCATATGATATATTGACTTGACTTTTTTTTTAAATGGGATGGCAAAGAAATGGCTTCTGTATATATGGAACCTATTTCTAGAGTCTGTTAGTTTTGAGAGGCACAGCTGTGATAGAATTTCCTTCCATGCTTGGTGGTGTGTGAACCTGACATGAAAAAGGAGAGAGGGTGAGCACAGCTGTCTTACCTTTTGTGCAGATAATTATAAACTTGAGTATGAAACAGAATATTCTGCCCATGCCATGGGCCAGAACACTGCATACTATCTTACAATCAAAATCCAAATCTATTCTTATTTGTGAAGAGAGAGCATACATATACAACAATACAACTATGACTAAAGCATAATGAACAGCAGTTAATGCAAATTATTATAGAAAGTAACCAGCATCAGAAAACATGATCTAGTAGACCTCAAATCAAAGATTAATATGATAGGAAAAAAAACACCAAGCAAACAAAACCCCCACAATATCTGTTGTATGTACAAACAGTGGTGTAAGTTTTTCAACATAGAGGGATCCACAAGTTACAAAGCATTGCTCCGTTTACTTGACCCATGTATGTTACTTGTAATACTTCATTAGCATTGCATCAGAGAAGACCAGCCAGGCAGTTCTGACTGATCCATCAATCCCCTTCAAGAAAACTCGCAGATTTACCTTCCCACCCTACCCTTATTTTCTCCTGTTTTTCTTTGAACCCAGGCAGGCATTTGTAGGAAGATAGGGATGTGCTGCATCACAGCTCTGAGGTTTTATGTTTGATGGTCCTTTTGTATCCCTGAATTATAGTTGCATCTGCCCACCAGAGGCAGCTTATTTTACAGGATGGTACAACTAGCTGGGTAGCTGCCTTAACTGGCATTAATTTTTCTTAATGCTGTTTATCCTTTTACTAGTTACAAATTTGCGCATCAGAGTCATTTCTTCCAGCATGATTAGGGGTATCACAGCCTTCAGTAACTAATTATGACAGATTTAATCCAATAGAACGGAAGACTCCTGTAACTCCAAAGCCAGCAGTTTTTGAAAATGGTCATTTTGAGAGGAACCCGTGATGGATCATAGTTTCTTCTTCTGTGGCAGATTATGCTATTAAGTGTGTGTGATCAAGGAGGAGAGATATTCTACATTCCACAATATTTTATACATTTTATTTTTATGCAAACAGTGGGGGCTTGTCTAGGAGTGCACCTGGAATGACTGGAAGGAGTAGGGCCTTGCAAGCCACAGTTTAAACAATGATGTATCCAGAGTGCTGTATTGATCGCTTTTTGATGGAAGTGGCTTAGCCTTCTTGACACAAACCAGTCATTTAATCACTGGGAGAACAGCACTGGGCAGGCCTTCCACCACAACAGTCCCCTGACATCCATGTTGGGTCACAAAGGATCATGATATGATGCAAGTCAATCTCAAACAGCCATTGCCTGGATTTTAAAGTGAAGGTGGTGGTCTAACCTTTCCATGCTTGTCCTGGACTGTGTCCCCTGTGGCTGCCCTTTGTAGCATACGACATAAAGTGGAACTCTTTGGGGGGAGTGGCTTTATGCAGCCAACTGTGTGTCTGATTGTTGCAAACTACCCCTCCCTATCTGTCACTTTGTGGCGAATCATCAAGGAAGAGACGGGGTTAAACTGCGCAGTCTGCTGGAAGCTTTTGGTCTTTTGCAAACAGCACAGCATTATGTATACTGTAGAACAGCATTTCCTGCATACATCCAAAATCCTTTCCAAAGTAACCCCCTCTTTTTAGAGAGTCTATCACTGAGGGATTGCAGCAAGCCAGGAGAACAGAAATGTTTAAATTCTTGTAGTCTTTCAGGATTTCCTTCAAAGTATTAACTCCAGTGGTGTCCAAAAATGAGATGGAAGAACAATCGACAACAAGGGCTTGGAAATCAATTTGCTTAGGAACTAGTTGCAGAGTGGTTTCTCCAATGCCCAGTCCATTAGCAGTTTTGTGATTTCCCTTTTTCAGATGCTGCTTTTCCTTCTTCTCATATTTCTTCCTCCGAGCAGCTTCTAGGTTAGGATCTAAATTGGTCAATCTGTACAGAGACTTTAGGAAGTAGTTTCTATTTGCATAGTAAAGTGGGGCCTCAAAGCGAAATATTTTGACCTTTGGAACAGTAGAGAGATTTTCATATTCTAAGTCATCCTCATAAAAGCTTGTGTCTTGAATCTGACCAAGCAGGGCTGTCCGTGGCCTCTGGGTCCGAACAATGATGCATAACATGGAGAAAACAATGCCAACCAACAGCCCTATTTCGGTGCTGACCAAGGCAGAGGCAGACATGGTAACTACCCAAACAAGTGTGTCCACCTTATTCACACAGTACCGTGCTGGCACATCTCGGAATTTCCTCAGGGCTCCCCGAAGGCTCACAATGATGATACAAGCCAGGACACACTTCTGCAAGGAGTAGAAGAGGGGTGCCAGGAAGAGCAGCACCAGCAAAACCACCATTGCACTAATTACTCCAGAGATTTGAGTTTGGCAGCCGGTAGATGTTTTGACGAGTGTTTTTGCCAAAGCTGCACTGGTTGCAAAAGAGTGGAAGAAGGAAGGAATGATGTTGCAGAACCCCACAGCAAACATTTCTTGATTGGCTCGGATGGTGTAAGCATATTTCTTTGCAAACATTTCAGAAAGGGATACAGTGAAGACAAAGCTGACTATGGCAAGAGGCAAAGCATCTAGAGCAACTCTGAGCATTAAGTTGAACTCTGGTACCTTTGGAGGGATAAATCCTGTTGGAATAGCTCCAGAAACACTGGATGCATACACTTCATTTAACTTACCGTAGTGTGACACCAGTGTTGCCACAACAATAACTACCAGCTCCGTGGGAAGAGGAAATTTCAGTTTATGCTTATACCGATCTCCAATTTCCTTAGCAGTGACCAGCACCACAATACAAATTGCACTTGTGATGACATCACAAAGGTTGGCCTGAGAAATGTTCCGGAAAATGTTAATCCAGGTAATAACCAGCATCCCATGCCCTTGGCTGCGTGGAATTTTTATTCCAATAAGATACTTCACTTGAGCTGTTAAAATGGTTAAGGAAGCACCAGTTGCAAAGCCATCTAGTACGGACTCAGATAGGTACATAGATACAAAACCTAGACGGAAGATCCCCATTAGAACCTGAGAAAACAGAAGAAGGAAAAAAAAAACAACCCATGAGCTGTAACCATTGCTGCAAATAATTAGGTACAGATGAGGGAGAGCTAGCTGGAGGCCAATAGTATTTGGCTATTTCATTCTTGAAACAGGAATTACCCTTTTTTGTTTCTAGTCTGCTTTTAAAATGTGATTCCTTTTACTGTTGTGGAATGCTGCAAACCCAAGAGGTGAATGAGGAGTTTTAGACAGGGTGGTCAATCAAATATTTGTCTGAAATTACTTCACTGAAGTGGCTTGCCTGATTTTTATTCCCCATGCAAAAGAACAGTGGGTCCAAAATACTTCTGTTATACCAAAGTCAATTTTCCTTTTTTCTGTCTTAAAGCAAATAAAGTTAACATGTATGGCCTTTTCCTTGTAAAAAAAACTTGACTGACAACAAATCAGATCCCTACTTTAGCTTTTGCATTTAACAGCTTTTAATTTTAGCCCTGTGGACAGAAGGGAAAATGGAGCGCAGATGGCCCTTGTTGCATGCCTAAAATCACAGGTGTCAGAACAGCTCACAGACTCCACGATTCTGTCCTTAACTAGTTGATTCTTCTTAGATGGTTTTGGAAAGTACAACTTCACAAGGGCATTTTTTTGTTCATATATGTGACCTGAAATTTCTTACTACAACTGAAAGATAGCTAGTTCTTTCTGCAATCATATATATACACGGATACATACATACACACACACAGTTAATCGTGAAGTATGTTCATGATGCTTCCTTCTGTGCTCTCTTGATATCCTTGTTGACAAGTGTCAAGGAGTCCAGCACAGCCATTGTCTGAAAAGTGGGTTAGTCAGTGTATTTCTCCTCTTGTCCTTTCTTTGAATTATCTTTTGGACACCAGTTTGGTGGAGCACAGCACCCCCTACCAAAAAACTGAGCTGCTCATTCTGAACCTGTAGAAGTAGTTGAGTAGGTATACACTTCTATTAAAAATTTCTAGGGAAAAAGTGATTTCTTCATTTTTAAGTACACAGCTATCTGGGAATTTCCTATATCTGTACTGGGCCTCACTGCCCCATGAAAGCAACGAGGCCAAGAAGCAGAAGAGTATCAAAACAATGTTAATGGTCTTCCAGAAGACTCTTGTTTTACCTGTGTTTACTAGCCACTAAGAAAACTGCCTCCCTCATGCTGTCTCTGAGTTGCCTACCATTAGGCTTCCTGGAGAAAACAGCCCAAGGTACATTTGAATGAACTGATGATGTATCTCATTGAAAGACAGTCAAGCCAAAGCTTAGGTCATGAAAAAAACTTTAGGAAGTTCATACCTTGCCGCTGGGTGTCAGCAAGCACTTACCTGATACACTCCAGCCATGAATGTCAAGGCTGTAGCAATGCCAATAGCGTAGCACTCTTTCCCACACTCGGCATTTATCCCCGCAATGGTAAGGTTGAAGGCAGTTGTGTTGGACAGATTGTCATTCTGCAGAGAGCCGTCACCTGAGGCTGGTGGGGCATCATCATTCAAGTCAAACCCAGCCAGGAGAAGTTCTCGGTCCACAACTTGTCCCACCATTAAGCTTATCAAGCTGAAAATGCCAACTGAGACGTGACGGGATGTGCCCATTAAGAAATAGATGATGTTGGCAAAGAAAGATGTGTAAAGGCTATAAATGGGCTTCAGACCTGCCAGCAGTGAGTATGCAATTGCTTGAGGCACCAGAATTATCCCAATCACTAACCCAGACATAATATCCCCCCAGATGTACTCTTTGCATCGGTACTTGGGAAGCCATCGCAAAACAGGAAAGAAGTCCATAAGAAAGTTCTTCAGCTTCTGTGGTGTGCAGGAGCAGGTCTTTCTCAGCTTAGCTACCATGATTTCTTTCCTATTAATCTTGACATGAGTCTTTCTTTCCATGAGAAAGCAGGATGAGGTGTTGTTTTCCATTCTGGTAGCCTCAAGTGGTGTTTCCATTTTCCCAGTGCTCACTTCATTTAATGTGTTCCTGCAAAGTGAAGAAAACCTCTGTCAGGTTGCAATTTGTGAAGGTTTTTTTAACACAGTCACTTAAGACTAAAAGTTTGTTCCCAATTTTGCTTTTAAGGAGGCATCATCCCAACAAAAACACTCTCACAAGGCTCCAGTGACACATAAGGCTAAGAAATAAATCTGCCCTTTCTTGCACACATTAAGGAGTACTTTGAGTTGAATCCAGTTTGTTCTAATAAAGAAAAATGGGGTTAAATTAGCCATTTTTTGTTATGACAGAGATTTCCATCATCTGTTCTAAATGTTCTATCATAAAGGTCTTTGTAACCAGAAGTAGGACTTGATGGTGTGAAATAAACGTGTGCTAGTGAGGTGGGTCATAGTGTTTCTGTACAGTGAGTACATCTTGTAATCATTGATTAGTAACTCTCGTGGGGTATGATCTGTGACTGCAGTTGTCAATGCAGAAGAGAAAAACATTCCTGATAGGACCTGTAAAACAAAGTTTTCTGGAGAGCAGAGCAGCAGTTTAGTCTAACAGAAAAGATATGTACATAAACAATTGAGTCTGTCGACTCTTTGTAGCTGCTACATAACATTAACTTGTTGAATTGTAGATTGTTTCAATGTGCAGCTTCTGGTAATAAATGCTTCCTCACAAATACCACCACATTGGTAACATACAGACCAAGCACCATGACGTTACCACATTGGAAGAGTGCTACATGTTATTATTTTCAGGTTTAAACCCATAGTTACCCAACTTTGGTAACTATTCCAGTAATGAGATACAACAAATAATTATGTGTACAGCAGAACAAACACAGCAGTGTTTCCTATGGTTCTGATTGTTTTCTAGTATGTGATGGCTGGGATAATTTGTATTCCCCTGATGGGGGACTTTTGATGTCTCTTGCCTCAATGGACACAACTGTTTTCACCAAACTTGACTTCTGCATTTTTACTCAATAGTCAAATTAAATTGAAATTAGCTTAGTGAATTGATAAGTAATTTTGGGGTAGGTGGGAACATGACTAAGAGGCAAAACATGCAAATGTCCTAACTTACATAGATAGAAAAATTAAATAGGAGCACACAGATGGAAAATGTTAAACAGGCTATGCCAAGTGGCAAATCTTTTCTGGTTAGCAGTAGAGAGAAAAAAGAGACTTCCATGTGAGAATGCCCATATAAGAGTAGTGGGAAATAAGGAGTGCCTCGTACTGATCTAGATGAAGATACTATGTCCCAAATACAACAGTATGCAGAACTTTTAGGAAAGCAGACCTTCTCTAGGCTCAGCCTCTCCCAGTGTCATTAACAGCCAGGATTTCTGCATCAGAGCTATTTGGTGCCAGGAGTGACCTTACCATAGTGTCAAAGCTTGTCTTCACTTACAAGTTAAAGTTGTTTCTTTCTTTTTTTAGTGTTTAGAGACAGACTCTGTACCATCAGTTTCATAAAACTTGAAGTAAACTTACCGGCGCAGTATTCTGTTGCTAAATTTTAGTGGTTTAAACAATTAATACATAGTTTAGATGCTACTGACAGTAGCATCTCAGTAAATTTAATGGGGTTTGTTGTGTTTAACAAGAACATTATGATTTGTTGATGTTAGGTAATAGCCTGTTAAAGTGTAGAATTCTGAATTTAGAAAAAGCTTTAATGAGTCCAGCTGGAAACATAATAGAAAAGCAAAAGAACAGATTAGCAATAGCCTGTAAGCCTTTGTCTGGAGCAGTCCAAACTGAGAGTGGCTTATCTTTTGTCTATCCTGCTTAGAAATAGTTTTCAAGATTTTAATAATTATGTTTTGCCACCAGATTGAAAATAATAAGAAGATGATTATATATCTGTAACTAGAGCAGAAATTTTAAACAAGTTCCCAGGTATTATGATACAGCATAGAGATAAATGATACAGCATGATTTCTAAGGCTATGCAAAGTTTAACCACAATTCAAAGCAGGATCTTCAGGTGTTATAGGTAATTTATAACTTGGTAAAAGGCAGAGTAGTGATTCTTGCTAGAATGTGTGGACTGATTGTCCAAGTTGAAAAGAAACTGCATAGCAGTCTAAACATATGTTTAAAAATTAGTAGAGTTTTATCCATCCCAATTACAAAAATCCATTTTAGCTCCCATTGTATACATTTCTTTGTAAGTTTATTTCCATCATAAGGAAACACTAATTACAACTTAATATAATTATTTATAAAGATCCATGTCCATTCTTTATCAATGCTAAGTTTACTTTAAACCCTAATGTACTGCACAGTTACGCTAGCCAAGATCTGCTTGGACAGGAAAATAGGTTGAATCTAGTCTTTGTTAGAATGCAAAGGTGACAGAAAAGATAAATGAAGTTGCAACACCAGGTGAAGTACTTAAGAGCATATGAATAAAGTTTACCAAATAGAGAATGCTAGCAAGTGTAATAAAGATGCTAATTTTTAAAAGGCAAAATCCCAATACTTCCTGTCTTACCTAAATTAGTTTGGAGAATGACACGCTTGTGCATCAGGACAGCAAGTCCTTATTTAAATGCCACTCACTTCTTACAGTCTAGTGAATTCAGCCAGCCAGGAAATAAGTATTGTGCCCTTGCTTGACATACTTAAAAGCTAGTGGGCAGTTCAATATCCAATGAGTGCTTTTTATAGGCTACATAAAAAAGATTGCATCAGCTTCTGTACACTAGGCTCATATATTTAATTGCATAGTTGCTGTCTGCCTTTCTCTAATCTCATACAATTTACCTGGAAGTAATTTGATATTTACAAAAAACCCCATTACAATTCAGAGGTGTGTATTGTTTGAGCAGCTCCCTGAGGGATAATAGTGATTTTTATTACATAAGATGATTTGAGCACAATTTCTTTGGAAATCTTTTAAGAGATCTTGTGTTTGAATGATAGTTTACTAATAGATATATTAACTATACTGCTGTACTGCATAATCAGAATAATAGCTTTTTGTAAAAAACAACCAAGCCTTCCTCACCTGCAAAAAAAAAAAAAAAGGTAGTACAGTAAACTATGTATCTTCTGTTTTCAAGCTGACGTAAGTAATTTTCTCCAATTTTTTTTTTCTGAAAATAAAGACTTCCTTCCTGTAAGTAACTGTTTATTCTGTTATATATGCTTTCAGATTCCATGTCAAATGAACGTGGTAGCTGTTAAGCAGTCAGCTCTCAACCTAGATTGGTATCCAGAAACTGTTAATGTTTAAAGTTTCCTTGTTGCTTTTAGAATGCAGTAAAGCCACACCAAATAAGGGCAGGGGCACCGTTATCAGCAACCCATTTTTCAGCTGTGTAATCCAATAATTGTCAGGCTATGATGCCTGTAACTCATTGCTTCACCAGAAGGAAGTGTGATTCCACCACAGATGGGTGCTATACCCTGTACATTTATGCAGCCTAGCAGAGCTTGCAGCTTCCAATGTTCTGGCCATCTCCAAAGACAGAATGGAGAAGAGGAGATTTGTCTGCTGTTGTGCACACGAGCAGACTCCAGCCTTCTGATTCTGGCACTGAGATCCAACACCATTCTTCCAAAGTGGTAATACTTGAGCAGTGTGCAGGAGCCCTAGGGGGGCAGAAGGTGGATTCCTTTACTGGTTCACCAAATGACCCATTTTCAGCTTAGGCCACACTAAGAAATGGTGATTTTTGTGTATTTCTAATTAAAATCTCCCTTTCTTCCTCCAGAGCTCTGCAGAACATAATGTTTGCATTTTATGCAAGTCATCATTTGCTGGAAGAGCTATTCTTAACAGGGCTGCGCAGATGAAGCAGCACGCAGCATAAAACATGTTAGTTCCTTGCACTTGACTTCACTTTCAGTGGAACAGGTGGAACAACTGTTTAAACAAGTGAAAGTTGACTGGTGTGCACATTCATGTATATGTGTAACATTCGTATAATTACAACAGAAAGTAGTCTTGGTTATTTTTAATTGTACTTTATGTTTGGAATCTTCACAGTGAAGTTTTTTCAAGTTTCCCTTGACCATATGAGCAAAAAGCAATTGAACAGAGACTTCTCTGAACCACTCATTCTTTCAGGTTAAATGCATTGACTCGATTTATTTTGTGAAAAATAAAAACAAGAGAAAGAACCATTTAAGCCAAACTAACTGCTAACTTTCCAACTGGCCTTAGTCCCACCTTTCTTCCTGTCTTTTCATCATGCCTGTGACCTGACAAAATCTCTCTGCAGGGGAAGAAACAATCATCACAGTATGTTCATGTGGGATTTCTATTTGCAGCTTCTTTGGCAGGCAGTTTCTCCTGATACATGTATAACCATTCTAAATGGGTAAGTTGTTCTTTGTGAAACAGCACAACCCCTAAAAACTTGATTCTTTTGCATCCTTTTGCCTCCCCATCCTGGATTGTCCACCAAAAAGTCTAAAGCTGTATCTCTATAAAGCCTAGGAAGGAGTAGCGATGGTGAGCCTGTCTCCCTGTGCTGAGATACTTTAAACACTTTATTTGGAACAGAAGTCAGATGGTATCACAGCTTTATATTATAATTGCTCACTTGCTGAAATAATGATTTCAAGTGTAAGTTAGGATAGAGCCATTTAAAGAGTTTAAGCCAAGTGATGTTTGCTATTTTCTCCATGTTTGAACTATGAAAAATCCACTAAAAACTAATGTCGTTAGGGTGGTATTTTGTATTTATTTGTTGCATAACTCACTGAAAAACATGAGAGACATCAGTCTAGTTAAACATTTGATTGGAAACACGGGTGTTAAGTTGTTAATGTTCATCTTTCATATCAGAAACCTTTTCTGTCTCATAGAAACCTTTCTTGGCTCTAATGGCTATGATTACGTTACTGTTCTGGTTTTGAGCAATGACACGAGTTTGAAAAAGCTCCTTGGTTAGGCTCATTTATGGTGCATAGATTTAATGTACAGGGGTGTGTTATTCTTGCAAACTGGATTTTTTTTCAGAGGACGGCACCTAGAAACTATGCCCCAGTGCACTTTGACACTTTATGGTGGCATAAAAACCTAAGCCAGCAATTGGTGCTTTGGACATACTTAAACAGATGTGAGGAATACATTTAGTTTGTGAGAACTGACTAGTCTGAAATAAAGTCCCCTGAGCTGCATATAATAGAAGACAATACTGGTTTAGCACCTATTGCTTTGATTTATTAATGTTTTGTTCTGCAGGGTTGCTTAGATATGTCAACATAACCTTAAAGTTTTAGAAGTCATCAGGTACTAAAACAGAACAAGTGAGAGGAATGTTTCTCTCTGTCTTACATTAGCTATTGTACTTTCATCTTTAGAACTAAGCTGTACTTGGAAGCAGACTTAAGCAGACTTAAGGCGCCAGCAATGGAAACCATTTATTTATACTCTGACCCAGCAAGCTGTCAGACTACAGGCACAGAACATGGCAATGCCTTGTAGGAAAATCATATGAAACTTGTTAGGTTTAGTTAGTTTTTCCACTATATAGGGGTAAAATATTACTGCTTCAAAGCATTTTTGTCTTGAGTTTCAATGTTAGCTAATTTAAACATGAAAGAGGAAATAGCATTCCAGCTTAGTGGTCTCTACAAGTCAGGAAAGTCAGATCATGTCTTCTACAAATTAAACTGCTATACTAAGAGGAGATTTATTCTGAGAGTCTTTCAGATTTGTGTATTTCTAATTAAAATCTCCAATTCACAATTTCTGTTTTCAACTGTAAATTGATTTAGTACTTTCCAGGCAAGTTAGGCTCTTTGTTAAGTGTCTGCATTGACCAGCAGCTGTGATTCAAGTCTTGTTTTCCCAAGAATTCTCAGTTCTATATCCCACTGAGTAAGGTGACAGCCACTGACAAGTAACAATCCCAGAGCTTATGAGAAGGCTTCAGTGGAACTTGTGCAGTTGGCCAGCACCTGTTGTTATGGCTGGCCCATCAAGATCATCTCTGGGAATAATCATGCATGCAGATACATGGTCAAGTAGTTTCACTTGTTCTGCAGAGACAGTTTTTGTGCAAGGATTCCAGAAATTGCTGATCTAACTCTTGAAGGCAAGACAGCATTTTTCTTCTGGAATGACCACTAAAAAGGCATTTCCTGTGGATTCAAAAAACGTTCCTAAAAATCAGATTTCTTACTTTTGGGAAAGTAGTTGTTTCAAAGTGAAAGTCTGTTATTTAAAATAAAAGAAATCTTTCAAGATAGCTTTTCAAGACCGTGGTCATCATTCATGAAGTTAAATACTAAGCTCTGTGTTCTGCCCTGTGGTTTTGCTGGATATTGTTTAGCCATACTGAGCTGTCACAGAGAAAACCAAATTGGTAGTCCATTCTCGTGGTTTTTCCTGTTGTTTTTGGTGGCATCTTGTGTTTACTACAGGCAATAAGGACATTGTTTTGGAAACACTTTTTGTACTGAAGGACTAAGAAAATGCTCTCAGTTTCAATATCAATTTAGTACTTTGAGAAACAAAGATAAGCCTAGTATATGCCATTTTCTTAAATAGAAATAAAAACTAACCAAATGGTTGAACTCTTGGATGAGGGTTGCAGGAAAGACAATTTCTGTGCCATTTACAGCGGACTATATGTTTTACAAACTTTTGTCCAATGTCTACCATATAAGCAATATTTATGAACAGCAACATAATAATAAACAAAAAAAAATCCACCAGCACAAGCAAAGTAAGTGAAAAGAGGCAGTTTTTCACCTTTGAAAACAGGCAAAGAACAAATTAACCTGAATTCAGAGGCACTGGAAGGGAGACAAATCTCTTACCTGGATAACTTTTTGACGGGAATGTACCAGCTCTGTTTTTGCACGTTGGAATGAATGGAAGTCTTCAGCCAGACATCGCTCTATTTGCATAAAGGATAATTATTAGCTAAATATTCCTCAGGGTAGGAATGGGTATTTATGGAATCTTGAGCTTGGTGTTTGGTAGTGTGTTGTCACTTGTATCACTTTGTAAAGCTGGATATATATGTATCACTAGCTGAGGATTTGAGTTTAAATAATGCATAAGATTATTAATTAACTAGCACTGATCCAAAAATTGTGCTGAGTTCAAGCTAGCACATCTCTGACCTTTGAAGCTGCTTCCCTTCTGAGATTTAATCTGGTTTATGCATCCTCATGTAGCATTAGCTTTTGATTTTACATGTTCAAGCTGTATGAATAGAACTTCTGTCTTGATTGAGATTTGTGTCCTTTGCAGGCTGGAGTAAGTCCTGTTCTGCTCAATGCATAGGATGGGAGAACTAGAGGTCAGAGTTCTTTTTCTACATGTCAGCACATTCAGATCACAATACTTTTTGCTTCTGTGTACACCAAAGACTTCATAATGTAGGAAGATCAGAAGGACAAAGATAGACTTCTGTTGAAAGTCTACTTCATTCTTGTGAGGTATATAAATGACCAAGTTCCCTCTCAGTTATCTTAAATCTTTGTATAAGTGCAGACCTATCCAAGTGATAAATAAACATCCATCTCCCCCCCTTGACAAAGGTGATAGGTAATGTTTAATGGTTACTAAGCAGTGCAGATTAACAGGTTGGGCACAAGGCCATGACCTGTAGGGACTGTATTCAGCTGGCCTACAAGCTAAGGGAAGAGCAGATGTGTCTATTTCTCAGCCAAGGAAGAACATGAGCTGGCATGCAGTAAGTATCTGAGATGGGAGTTGAAAGGTCACAAAAAGACTGCGTTGTTGGCACACAGTCATGACTAGAGAGGGCTGGGTTTCAACATTGTCTTTTATCCCTGTGCAAAAAGTTGCTTGCTGCTCTTTAGAAGTAAGAAGGAAACATAAAAATTATGTAAATGAAAAGTCAAAACTTTGGCAAGGGAGGAGAAATAGAACTTCTGTGATGTTAAACTGGTCATGGATTCTTAAAACTACTGGGTACTACCAGGAGCTTAGACTTGGTGGTAGTAGTTGTGGTGTTCTAAATCCAAAATTTTAAGAAGATAATTTCACTCTTACCAAAATCCTGTTGCTTGCTTCTTTGTTATGGAAGGTCTTGTCAACCACTCCTATCACTTTCCCCTTTGCTAAAGTACCTCCTAGAAAAAAGGGGATGCAGTAGTACACTTTTTCTGCATAACAAATTTTGCACACTGGTTACAAAGATAGTGTGTTTCTTTGGTTTTGTGCTCTACAGTATAGAAGATTTCACTGCTTCTATTAATTCAATTTTAGCCTTGAGGTATTTCTTCATTAAAAATAAAATGACTTAAACTAAAGTCTCTCATATTCATCCATCCTTTCATCCATTTTATTATCTAATTCTTAGAACCTAGAGTTATCTTGTCTAGTGACCTCCAAAAACGCGTGTGCCATCTGCTTCAGTACCTAAGTAAACTTTTTCTCCTTTTCAACTCCTGTCCAATATTTGGAAACTCTGTTACTTCTGGTATTTGCAATCTTGGAATTTGCAGAATAATTGGGGTTTGCCCATTTCACAATTTTTTTGACAGAGACCTGTCTGCATTTCTCTCCAACAGCACTTTTCCCAATATCAGGCTCCTAAGAGAAAGGAGGATATTATTCTATCATTATCACTTGACCCCTTCCATATAAAGTTGGCTATAACTTTGTTTTGCCTCAAGCTAGCCTAAAAATAGCGCTTTTTGAAATCTAAAAGAACGAAACTTCAAATAATTATTCTGAACATTTTTTTTGGTACAGCACAGTGCCAGTGAGGCTAAATGTCTCTGGACAGAACAGTTTCACTTGGGAAAAAACTGACAAAATGAAGCAATCTCTCATTCTGTTCTGTAGAAATTTTGAAAATTATGTAGTTTTGACAGAACTGTGTTTTATGATGAACAATTTTAGTTTCCATACAAAAATACTGACAGCAGAATGTTTGTTAATGGATTATGGAGATGAGAGTTCATACTTCATTACATGAAGTCATTAATCAAGGCTTCAGTCCAGCAATAATTCTGAGTGGGCTGCTCCTGGCATCCTGGTTGAATTCTACTGACACTAACACTCAGTTCTAAAAGTGCTGTCTTTTCTTGTGAGCTGCTGAGTAGTGAAACAGTGGTAACTGGCAAAAACAGCCAAAAGATGTACTACAGTGAAACATCTATCTCTAAGAATAGAGACTACAGTAGAAAAGAATGATGATCATTGACCATTAATTTTGAGTCTACAGGTGATTTTTGTTTGTATGACTTACTGTTTATCTCTATGAACAGAAGCACAGTTTCAATTGGATTAAAAACAGTAAAGGGTTAAAAGCAGAATTGAACAAAAGTATTTATGAAATAAATGGTGGAAAAACAAAATATATTTGACATTTTGGACACATTTACTTGAGGATTTTCAGATGATCTCAGAAAAATTCATGGCATTGCTATGTACAATTCATATCTAGTAACCTAACTGTTAAAAAAATTAATGCTAAATGAGTCACATACGGACAGTTAATCTCAGAATCATAGTTAAAAGTGTTTGTTTACTGGGTCACGGTCAATAATATAAAATCTTCAAAAGTACATAGTCCATATGTAATAGCCACGTTTTCCTTTTGTGCAAGTGTTGGAAGTTCAGAAATTCAGTGAATTAAAAAAACTATTAAGCCTAATGCCTGCATTGTTTAAAATGCCCTCAAGCCTCAATTACTCTGTAATTTACCTTTATGTCATAGCAAGCAGGTGATGTGCCTAAAACCCAACATTTGGTTGCATTGTAATAGGAAAGATGGGCACACTGAAAGTAAGCAGCCACTCCCTTCCAATCCACTATGCGCTGCACTCCACATTCCTTCTCTAGCTGTGACAAGTGCCTGGTGCAGCTGAAAATGGTGTATATATGTGGAGAGTCATGTTATTGATTTTTTTTTTAATGAAAAAATCTGTAGTTCCTGTTGTACAGTTTCCAGGAGAAACTGAGATCTGCAAGATTGAATGCAGATTTGTATATTCAAAATTGAGGAAGGCTGTCATTCAGCATGCAAGCCCCTTTCTATTTCCCACTACAAACACACAGCAAATGGATTAGCACTTACCAAAGGCACAAAGTAGCTGCAGTAGTTCCACAACCGTTCTTGTATCAGCACCCAGTAGCACAGTACCTCAGGATCACAGCTTTCTGTAAGAATAGATTAGAAATCGTATCATGATATAGTGCAGGCATTTCCAATCGGGTATTGCTCTCATAATGCTTGCAGTGAGATAATATAAATAAACACTAGCACCTGAAAAATCTTTGTCCTGTAGAGTGTAATCACAGATAAAAGATAAACTTTAAATCGTTACATTACAGAAGCTGGTAACCTCTGACTTCTTACTCATCTCTGCTATTCTGCTGTAATACAGCTGGTTACACTGTGTGGAGTCATGATAAAGCTTTTTGCAGTCTTTTTAACTAGGGTTTTCAGGGGTTTTATATACTAATTTCAATTAGATGAAAAAATACTTTTAATGTGTTAAATAAGATTACGAAGTATGTGGAACTTTCCTTACACTTACTGCTTAGTTGTCAATGGTGTCTAATCAAGATTTGTCCTTTGAAAAAGCATTTTTATTGAAATAAATCATGAAGGGGGTCTAGCTGATAAATCTTATCTGTATATAGGAAGAATTTACATACATCAGCTGACATTGAGTGTAAAATGTCTGGGCTTTCCTGCCTTCTAAGAAAAGCTCCTGTTGTTTCATCCCCAGACAGCCAGAACTGTAGCACTAGAGCCTGTCTATTGATGAAGATGAATATTACTACTGATATTTATATATCACAGAGGCAGATTTAATGTAGCAAGGATTGTCTGGACTTCTGAAGCTTGTTCACCCATTCCTTGAAATTGTATGTAATCTTAACTGGATATTGAAAACCAGTTTCTGGGTGCAAAGATAGATGATTTCTTACTTCATTGTGAAGTAAATTTTCACATTTCATAAACAAAGAATGTAATGCATCTTTATATTGAAAGGGGAGATATTTTTTGTATTAGTGGAAGTTTTTCAGGATGGGGGAGGAATGGAGGAAAAAGGGTAATACATTAACATGAAGATCATAGAATGTAAGACCTATCCATACTGTATTTAATAATACACCACTAGTATAAATTGTAATGCCAAACCCAGGTTCAAAATAGAGTTGTCAAATCTCAGTTTGTAGAGACTTAGAGACTTTTAAGTTTGTATCTCATAAAAAAATATCTATAGATGCAACTGGCTAGTTTTACCTCCTTAATTGTAAGAGGTTTAATATGTTTTATATTCAAGAGTGAAGAACAGACACTGGCATGCCATTTAAAAAGCTGCACTCTCCAGATTGTCTTACAGTGGTCATTTGTCAGTTCTGAAGTACACAGAAACCACTCATCACAAAAATTCTTCAGGATTAAGAACAAGACATGGAAGGCATATTCATTGTGCCTTTTCACTGTCAGAAGTTATTAAACACTAGTAAGTTAAAAAATAAACTTGGTATCAATTTGCAAACAAGTTACATATTCAAGTTAGATATAAAGTGGCCCATGGGAAATCAAGGATTGATAGAGAAAGACACACCTGAAACTACATCTGATAAGCAAAATAGATCCAGCAGCTGCAGGACTTCATCAGACACCATGTGCTGTCTGTATTTTAGATTGTAAAAGAAGTACATCAGCTGAGAAATCTAGCTGCAAATCTTCACACCTTCAGTTTTTATTTACCTCCATGTTTTTCTTTTCTTAGACTGTTTGTTTGTCCATTTATGTGCTCCTTAATACACATCTTGACAAGTGGAAAAAAGTTTTCAGAATGGAAAAAGTTAAAATATTGGGTAAAAGTAGTACATTGTGCATTAATGCAAAATTTCAGGTCCAATTACAGTATGTACGTGACCAAGCAAAGTGCTTGCAAGAGCA